ACACATATATATATATATATATATAGATATACAGCTTACAAATACAGAAAAAAAATGATGTAAAATTCATATTCTGTCAGAAGAATTTTAAAAACCACTTTGTTATTACTAAAAGATTAGGAAGTATTTGAAAACATTCACTAATCTGTAAGTTGTACTTTACTAAAACATATAAAAAAGCAAGAAAACTTTAACCCTTTTACGGCTGGCTCATGCAATTTGCATAAATTGAGTCATGAATTTCATTTGTACAACAATACATGTGGTAACTCTGAGATTTCTTAACGTAACCTATCAAAAACAGGTAAGGTTTCATTAAAGATCATAAGTATCTGGTACATAAATAATGATGGTTTTACAATTAAGTGTTTTAACTAAAAATATGTAATTTTTTATTGTAGTTGCTCGTATTCAAAGTATTAACAAATTAAGTGCAACTGCAATGTTTAAACCTTTTAATTATGCATTTTAAACCATAACTAATACATAATTAACTAAAATATAATAGTAAGACCTAAATACAATTTAAACTGTATCTCTAATTATAACATATTTAGGTAAGAAACAACCAAAAGTGCTATAGTCCATCAAGCAGCCGAACATACTATAGTCAATTTCATATAATCCTTGACGATAACTGCCCACCAATTTCAAAATAACCATTGTTAGTTTTTTTTCAATCCCTGACAGCTGCCATGCCCACCTTAAACTAATTTGTTTAAGCTTTATAGCCTAAGTGTAGCTGTTACATATTTAAGCTGTATAGACATTAAAAAAAAAGTCATTTTATACTATGATTTTAAAACATGTTACATACCTGTACTACACACTACCACCTTCAAATTTTCACTGTTTTTAAACTGTTTTAGCCAGAAATAAACAACAAACATGATTTGTAGCCTTGTTTGTAAACTTTCAACAGAAGTTTGCTTAAAACTTTTTAAGTGTAAATCATTTTTCATCTCAGAACTAATTGAAAACCTTTGGTGTTGTACAAAATTCTGATCAAACCAATAACTATCATACAAAGTTTTATTGTGGAGTGGAAGACCATTAACTCTTTCACAATGGGAGCCTGTTTGAACGTTTTTTTGTGCAAGTCACTTTGTTACACTCAAAATTTAATTAAACACCTTTAATATCAATGTATGTGAATGAAATTATTATTATAATGTGTGTTATGAATTGAGGTTTTATTTTATCCAAGTTTTAAGACCTTTATTTCAAAATAAACTTTTAAGAAGCTACTTAAAACTTCAGGTGTATTGTCACGTGACCAATGAACTATGAAAGTTCTCTATTTTGGCACTCTGTACCTTTAATAGTACAATGGCAGTACTGTAGAGGTATGTCTAAACAACGAGATGATTAGATAACCTTTTGACTCATTCATTTCAAAGTTCTTTGAACGAAATAGAGTTGAAACAAACACTAATGCACTTTTAAATATATCAATAAACCCTCAAGTTCCTAAAATGAGAAAACAGGATCAGTGCCCAGTAGATCAGAACTTACAAGGCTTACAACAGGCAGTGAAGATCAACTAGTATCTCATTTTCCAACAGGGCTCACTAATTTAAAAAAAACAGTTATTCCTGTCAGAGAATCGTCAAAACAACCTTCGTAATCCTTACTTAACCAAGTTTATTCCTTAAAGAAAGCGAAAGTTTGTAAACTAACTTAAATGTCTGTTTCAACTGAAGAACTCTGATAAAACAACATTTGAGAGCAGACTTTTATATATTTTCGTTTGTATCTGTTTTTATTAAATTAATTTGTTCAGCAGAAAACAGGATGGCATTGGTTGATATTTTTTTCATGTGAGAACTCGTACAATCCTTACACTAGAATTGTGTCTTTCAGCAGGTTAGTATCTTTACTTTCACTTTATCTAAGGAGAACACGTGCAATGTTAAGCATTTGCCTCCCATGAATGAAGTTTAAATTCATTTATTTACTTTCATCTTTGTTTATAGTGTGTGCCATAAGGCCCTCACTAGTAATTAAAGTTGTTTACGTTTGGTATGTGCAAACAAGTTTTAGAGTTCAGTTCATTTTAAGTGTGAAGGATATTTAATGGAGCACTTGCTTCATTGTTGTTATTAATTTTTAAGTAAAGTTACTTAGTTATTAAATCAAAGTAAGGATTCAGATTTCACAGTTTCAGTGCATTTTATACAGATTAACTCTCTCAATACAGACTTGGTCAATTTGACTGACCACATGACCTCTTTGTACTCATTTAAAGTCATTATAGATTTAATACTTCTAACTTTCAATATAGTGAGTATATCTTCACAAATTTTGGCAGTCTTTCAGTTAATATTACAAGTCTTTCACATATAAAAAATAATATTCTTTAATGAAGCATTTTTAATAAAATAAAATAAAGATTTGTTCATTAATATGTTGACTATTTGTTTTGAATAGTCTGTGTGAAAAGTAATCCCTAAAACCTTCTAAATGCATTTTAAACGTTTTTTTTTCAGTAAAACTTTATAGTTTATTTGTTATTTTCTCTACCCTATCTCAAAACGGGATCAGTCAATTCAACTGACCTCATAAACACCCCAAAAAAAATATCGAAATAAACCTAAATCACCCTTTTTTTCTTTCTAGAATAACTTCAAACTGCAACATGAAACTACATTCATTTATCCTAAGTAGTTCTAAGTTCGTAACAGTATACATCTATTTATAATTAAATGTTATTGTTTATTGCCCTTTTGAACCATGTCTAACTACTATCTGCACCATTATAAGTTGTAAATCACTCAGGGAATGTGCAGGTCACGTTACACTAACGAATTACATTATCCACTAGCTGCTCGTGTGTGCCTCGTGAACATACTTAGTTATATTGTTATTATTACTTATTTTACCTAATCTAGTCTTAAATAACTTAAAAAGATCTGTATTTTTAGATTTTAGTTACTTTTATAATTATACATAAAGAATAAACATGAAAAACAAAAAATAAAATACTTAACCAACCTTCTTTTTTCTTGCCGTCGGGTTTTGAAGAAAGTTAACTTTAATTTTTTATTCTAATAATAGTAATGCATTTAGTCATTTTTATTTAATTAAATAACGCACCAAAGAATATATACTAATAACATGCAAAAAGTAGACAAATTTCATTCCCTCTCAAAAATTTTCTGATTTTCTAACTATGTGACAAGAGCCATTACAAGTTAGTTGTTAACTTTCCCACAGGAACGACATTGGTACTCAGTGAAATTCACATCTAACTGTTCAGAACATAATGTTATACAATAAGTCATTTGATAGATGAAAACCTTGACTTTCTATTGGTTATATGTAATATATAATGAAATGTAAGAGAGAACTATCAACGAATTGTGAAAGAGAGGATGTGAGAGAAAAGCTATTCAATAGCTATGTAACCAAATA